TACTAAAAATACAAAATTTGCCAGGCATGGTGGCGCATGCCTGTAATCCCAGCTACTCGGGAGGCTGCTCGGGAGAATCACTTGAACTTGGGAGGTGGAGGTTGTGATGAGCCGAGATCGTGCCATTGCACTCCAGCCTGGGCAATAAGAGCAAAACTTCTTCTCAAAAAAAAAACAAAAAAACAAAACAAAAAGAAGAAAAGAAAAAAGAAAAGAAACCTGAAGAAACCTGTTTCAAAAATAACAAGAGTTGGTCAGGATGGAGAAATCAGAACCCATACATGTTGCTGGTGAGAATGTAAAATGGTGCTCTCACTGGGGAGCAGTTTGGTGGTTCCTTAAAATGCTAAACATAGAATTATCATTTGATCCAGCCATTCCACTCGTAGGTATGTACCCAAAGGAATCGAAAGCAGGAACCCAAGGCCAGGCCCGGTGGCTCACGCCTGTAATCCCAATACTTTGGGAGACCGAGGCAGGTGGATCACCTGAGGTCAGAAGTTCGAGACCAGCCTGACCAACATGGTGAAGCCCCATCTCTACTAAAAATATCAAAATTAGCCAGGCATATAGCCAGGTGTAGTGGCATATGCCCATAATCCCAGCTACTTGGGAGGCTGAGGCAGGAGAATTGCTTGAAGCTGGGAAGCAGAGGTTGCTGTCAGCTGAGATCATGCCACTGCACTCCAGCCTTGGTGACAAGAGCAAGACTCTGTCTCAAAAAAAAAAAAAGAAAAGGAAAGGAAAGAAAGAAAGCAGGAACTCAAACAAGATACTTGTACACAAATATTCACTGCAGCATTATTCACGATAGTCAAAAGATGGAAACTACCCAGTGTTATCAGTAAATGAATGGATAAACAAAGTATATACAGACAATGGAATATTATTCAGCCATAAAAAGGAATGATGTTCTGACACACGCTACAACATGGATGAACCTCGACATTATGCTAAGTGAAAGAAGTCAGACATAGAGGGACAAATATTTCACTTATATGAGGTACCTAGAATGGGCAAATTTGTAGAGACAGAAACGTTGATTGGAGGTTACTAGGGGTTGGGTGGTGTGGGGGATGTGGAAATATTGCTTAATGGGTTCAGAGTTTCTGTTTGGGGTAATGAAAAAGTTTCAGAAATAAATAGTGGTGATGATTGCACAACATCATGAATGTGATTGATGCCCTTAAATTATCCCCTTAAAAATGATTAAAATGGGCCATGTGCGGTGGCTCACGCCTGTAATCCCAGCACTTTGGGAGCCCGAGGTAGGAGGATCGCTTGAGGTCAGGGTTCGAGACCAGTCTGACCAACATGGTGAAACCCCACCTCTACTAAAAATACAAAAATTAGCTGGGTCTGGTGGCACACGCCTGTATTGCCAGCTACTCGGGAGGCTGAGGCGGGAGAATTGCTTAATCCAGGAGGCAGAGGTTGTGTTGAGCCAAAATCGCGCCACTGCACTCCAGCCTGGGCAGCAGAGTGGGACTCAGTCTCAAAAACAAAACAAAAACCAAAAACAAACAACAAAAAAAATAATTAAAAAGGTAAATGGTAAATTTTGTGTCTGTTTTCCCACACAAATTCTCCTGGTGGAAGATTAAGGCAGGGTCGACTTACAGGTGGTTGTGAAGTGAGAACAGGAGTCAGGGAGGAGACCCCTGTGAAGCCAGGCAAAAGCTGAGGTTCAACTGGGAAGGGTAACGGACAGTGATGGGGCCAGGCAGGCGTGAGGGACAGAGAAGGGGAGAAGGTGTAAGTTCAGGGCCATCAGTAAGTCTATCTCAGGGTGGAAGACATTGGAATACAGTCAAGGGATTAGACAGAAGAAGACAGCTCAGGCTGCTGATTTTGCTACTGCACTCCAGCCTGGGATGGTTCTGGGTTTGAAGGATTTGGGGAAAACAGACTGCAATCCTAACTAAGCTAGTCTCAAAGCTTTAGCGTCCCAGGCTGGCCACACTACTGGCCTGGGCAGGGCCACAGCAATGCTCAGTGGCTATTTCAGGCCACCAGGACACATCTAAAGTTACTGTGCCTCTCTGAACCTCTCAGGTGTCTCCTGCATCTCCTGATGTCTGAGCTACAGCCCTGGAGAGGCCTGAACCCCTTACCTCTGTTGCTTGACCTGAGGGGAAACCAGGTCCCTAGGTGACCCAGGACAGCCAGAAGAAGAGCAGAGTGCATGTGAGTCCCAGGGAGCATGTGGACACACCCAGCTGAGCACTGGCTTGACTTACTCTGAACTTCACCCGAGATCGCATGGATAGTCAATGAAGGATAACCAAGGCCTCCTGGCTGGATTCACCAAGCACCTACACAGGTGCTCAGAGGCCCTTTCTCTGTATTCTAGAAAAGCAAGTCCCTTCCTTTTGTGGGCTTAATTTCCTCCTGTGTAAAATGAGGAGCTGAGGCCAGGTGCAGTGGCTCATGCCTGTAATCCCAGCACTTTGAGAGGCTGTGGCAGGAGGATCGTTTGAGCCCAGGAATTTGAGACCAGCCTGGGAAACATAGTAAGACCCTGTATCTACAAAAATAATAATAATAATAAAATAGCTGGGTGTGGTGGCATGTACCTATAGTCCCAGCTACTTGGGAGGCTGAGGTTGGAGGATCACTTGGGCCCAGGAGGTCGAGGCTGCAGTGAGCTGTGATCGCACCATCACTGCACTCCAGCCTGTACAACAGAGTGAGACCCTGTCTCAAAAAAAAAAAAAAAAAGTAACTGGACTGGGGATCTCCCAGGTCCCTTCTGGCTCTGACCTTCTGGGGCTTTTAGAAAAGGGTCATGACTTATGGGGAGGTAAGGATAGGGAGGCCTGAGTAAGAATGGGAGAGGGAGGAATAAACTGAAACTAAAGGTGACAGGTGGCCCCTGGGTGAAGGGATTACCCAAGACCCTTCCATTAGCGTCACCTAATGATTCCATGAGTTAATCTGTAAATGCTGTGTGCAGCCTGGCACATAGTAAGCTCTCAATCAGTTTTAGTAGTGATTATTATTGTGATTATCAGCAGCCTAGATTCATAAACGTTCTGCTTACTTAATCGCCGGTACCCACAAATCTTCAAATGACCACATCATTGAATCAGGAATTGCTGAGTCATTGAATCTGAACACTGCTGGACCATCAAAAGTGAGTCTCTCCAAGTCACAGCATGGACCCATCGCTGAGTCGGCACAAAGTGCCCTGCTGAGCCATGCCTCTATCCATGTTGCCCTTGCTGCTTTTGGTGTCCTTCTAGATCTTTCCACAAGGCAAATTCCGCTTGAAGGTCCAATCCATGGATGCACTGTGTGGACATGACTTCATTTGACTCTCCCACCTCCATGAATAGTTGTTGCTATATGGTACTAATAAGGAAACTGAGGTCCTCAGAAGTCACACAGCCTGGCGCTTCACGCGAAGGTCCATGGGTGGCTGGTGTTTCACTTTAAGGCCCATGGGTGGCTTTCTAGCTTCAAGAATGAGCTGAGCTAACCTTTCCCTCAGTGCTGCCCAGTTATTTTACCTTCATGTGCAGCACACACCACAGCATGCTATAATTTCTCTGGGTGCCTGTTTCCCCAGCCCCCTCAACTAGGAGTGCCATACAGGCTGACGAGGGTCATGTCTGACCTTCCTCCTGTCCTCCACAAGTGCCAGGCTCATCGGGGTGCCAAACAGGTGCTGTGAATAGGATCAGATATCTGTAGAAGGGTCTGGACTACTGGCCAGGTAGCATGGGTACAAACCTCGTGAGGGAAACGACATCCTGGGGTTTTGAGTCTCCATCTTCCTTTGGGTACCCAGCCCACCCCGAAACTGGAGGTGGTCCTCATTCCCCACTCTCTCAGTGGCCCTGCTGGAATCATGTGCTGGCCCACCTTTTCCTGCCTTAGCACGGTCTACCATGATGATTTCCGTGGTGGGTGCTGAACCCATTGGAAAGCAGGTAAAAGCTCAAGCCCTCTTCCCAGAAAAAAATTCTAAACCTGGCCATATGAGATTTTTTTTCACACCCATAAAGTTTTGCATATAATATCAATGGATTTTCTTTTCTAGAGACAGGGTCTCGCTCTGTTGCCCAGGCTGGAGTGCAGTAGCATAATCTTGGCTCACTGGAGCCTCAAATTCCTGGGCTCAATTGATCCTCCTGCCTCAGCCTCTCAAGTAGCTGGGACTACAGGCTCAGGCCACCATGCCTGGCTAATTTTTTAAAAAAATTTTTGTAGAGATGCGGGTCTCACTATGTTGTCCAGGCTGGTCTTGAACTCTTGAACTCTTAGCCTCAAGCAATCCTCCCACCTTTGTCTGCCAAAGTGCTGAGGTTACAGGTGTGAGCCACTGCACCCGGCCCAATATCAATGGATTTTAAAGTTCATCAATGGAGTCCCTAAATTGCACCCCAAATTAGAGAAAAGCCCAGGAAGCTTGGGAAGCAACTAGTATAAATAACAGAGATAGGGCACTGAGCTCTCTGGGTGGAAATAGGGGTCACAGTGAACTTCAGAGGGGAGCCCAAATCATCCCTCCCTAAACCTCCTTGGGCCATCCTCACATCTCCCCCACCTCTTCCTTGGCCCACCTTCTCTGAGAAAGCCTCTGCTCTCCCCAGTATGGCTATACCACAGAGGTTTGTCTAATGTGTGAGTTGTTTTGTATTTGCTTCATTAGAAAGCCTTTTAAAATGCATTTTCAGGTCTGTGTTCAGTACAGTGTGTCTCGAAATAAAAATTTTCAGGCAAATCACCTTAAGAAGTTTGGCTGTTTTTATTCCTTCCCACCTAGCATTGTCAGTACAAACCATGGGAGAATGTCATAAACCACAAAGCAAATGTGGGGCATCCGAGGGCCCTGACCTGCCTGATTATCTCCCCCACTACATCTAACTGGTGGGGACCCGTGGCTATCACCTGTACAGCTAGACCAGAAGATAGACTGTGAGATATCAGTAGCCCCTCCCCACACTCAGACCCAGGTTGACCTTGACTACAGTTATAAAACTATCCCTTCACAGGGGTTCTCGTCTCAGTTTTACAGAAGACGAAAAAGGCTCGGGGAGATGACAGAGACTCAGTAGGTCCCTGGCAAGGCCTGGTCATCTGGCAAGGTGAAGAGGACCTCAGAAACCACTGCAGGTGTGTGTTTTTCTGCTGGTTAAACATTCCAAGAGAAAAGGAGACACTCAGAGATTGTAGACAGGACCTAGAATTGGCCTGAAGTTTTCTAGACACTGTAATTCAATCAGCTCAAAAAGGCCCGGACAGGGCCGGGGACAAATGTGGGGACAGGGCTGGCAGCTGGGCTCCAGACCAAGTGTCCGAGTGCAGGGCTATTGACTCTGAGTCATGACATTTGACTCCAGTCCCACAAGAGGGGTGATGTGTCTGACAGAGGAGCAGCAGGAAAACAGCTGAGTCTTCCACTCCAACTCAGGCTTCTGAGGTCTCTGTGCAGTTTCTGCAGGAACGATTCCTTTCAGAAGTGAGACAGAGGGCAGCACGAATTTCTCCTCTGAGCACAGGGGCCTGACGTCCTCAGAAGACCACCTGTGTCCTCAGATCAGATGTGGCCCTGCTTCCCATCTGCTTTTCTGTGCCCATCCGACTCTTCCTCTGCCTTGATGGTACCTGCACAGACTCAGGGCATCTTGAGTCAGATGTGCTTCTCCCTGGATAGGTGATCATCTCAGTCCCACCACAGAGGCAGGTAATGAAGGGGCACAAACCTATGCCTTGCAGATAGTGGGCATTCAATAAGCTTTTGCTGAGTTAGAAATTTGGTGGGGGGCGGAAATCGTGAGGGCGATGTAGAATCTGGAAGAGCAAGTCTGTTGGGGGAAAATGCATTGAAATCTACTGGCTCCAAAGGAAAACGGTTCTGTCCTAGACAGAGGAGGCTTTATTGGGAAGCTAATAAGCTTATGCTTAAGGCCCACTACTGCAGAGTTTACGAGCCCCTTCCTAGGCCCCGTATCTAATCTGGCTTCCATAATTTTGTATTATTTTTCTTATACCAAGCACCCAAAATTGTGTAAGCTTCAGGTTTCACAAAACCTGGATCTGTCCCTGGTCCTGACACTCTCTAGCTTTGCAAACACTGAGCCCCTCAACCCACTTGAGGGTAGAATCCCAGAATTAGATGGGCTCTCAAAAGAGTATCTGGTTTATCCTTCAAGCAGGTATTAAAGATCCATCAACTCCCAGGAACTCTTTTTTTTAGGGATCTGCAAGGATAGATATCCAGGGGTTGGGTAATTTATAAACAATAGAAGTTTATTTGGTTCACCGTTCTGGAATCTGGGAAGTCTGAGATTAGGGGACTCCATTTAGTGAGGGCCTTTTGGCTGCATTATAACAGGTGGAGGATGGCCCGGCGCAGTGGCTCACGCCTGTAATCCCAGCACTTTGGTAGGCTGAGGTGGGCGGATCACTTGAGGTCAGGAGTTCGAGACCACCCTGGCCAACATGGTGAAACCTCATCTCTACTAAAAATACAAAAAATTAGTAGAGCATGGTGGTGGGTATCTGTAATCCCAGCTACTTGGGAGGCTGAGGCAGGAGAATTGCTTGAACCTGGGAGGTGAAGGTTGCAGTGTGCCAAGACTGTGCCACTGCACTCCAACCTAGGCAACAGAGCAAGACTCCATCTCACACATACACACACACACACACACAGAGAGAGAGAGAGAAAGAGAGAGAGAGATAAGAGAAGACATTTCACCCGTGAAACCAGAACAAACAATTATACACAAAGGAATAATTTAAACGGGATTGTGGTGATGGTTACAGACCTCTGTAAATTTACTAAAAATCATTGAATTAGACACTTAAAATGAGTGAATTTTAGAGTATGTGAAGTGTACCTCCAATAAAACTCTTTTTTAAAAAAAATCGGAAAAACAGTGCAAACTTCTGAAAATTTGATCACATAAATAAAATAGTTAATAGAGGATTTGGAAGATAAGGTCAAGGAAATCCTCCTGGAAGTGGAAAAAAATAAAGGTATGGAAACTCAGAGAGAAAATGAAAAGCAGAAGATCCATCCAGGAGGCCCAGCAAAAGAAACAGAGAGGAGAGGAAACGGAGGAGAGTCCATTATCAAAGAAATAATATAAAATTACTTCCTAAGACTGAATGGCCTGCGTCTGCAGAGTTTACCAGCCCATTGCGCACCCAATACAATGAATGAAAAAAGGCCCACGCTAATTTCATAGTGATGTATACGAAGGTAAAATCTTAAAATTTAGGCCAGGCATAGTGGCTCATGCCTGTAATCCTAGCAGTTTGGGAGGCCAAGGCAGGCGGATCACTTGAGGTAGGGAGTTCAAGACCAGCCTGGCCAACATGGTGAAACCCCGTCTCTGTTAAAACTACAAAAATTAGTTGGCCGTGGTGGCACGTGCCTGTAATCCCAGCTACTTGGGAGGCTGAGGCACAAGAATTGCTTGAACTCGAGAGGCTGAAGTTGCAGTGAGCTGAGATAGCACCACTGGACTCTATAGCCTGGGTGACAGAGTGAGACTCCAACTCAAAAAAAAAAAAAAAAAAAACTTAAAATTTTCCAGAGAGAAAAAAACAGATTATAAAAAAAGATCAAGACTAAGAATGGCATTGGACTTCTCACTGGCAACGTCTTATTCTAGAAGTCAGAAAATAGAGAAATGTATTCAAATCTCTCTCTTACAGTGTAAAAACAACAAAAGACAAACTTTAATTCTACAAAGCAAGTTTTTCATAAGATCAAAATATGTGCGTGTGGAGGGATGGGGGTTCTATGTTTATCTCTTCTCCACTCTCTCTCTCTTTTTGCGTCATCATCTCTGTGTCCTATTCTCCTTCCTTTCCGTCTGCCCTTCCCGTTCTATCTTTTCTGTGCTCTCTCTTTCTTTACTGGCCATCACATAGAAATGGAAAAATTTTTTCTAATTACTTCCTTCATTTGTTAAATCATTTTGTGTTCTCTGTTCTCCATTTTAAAAGCAAACAAGCGGAACACTTCATTTCTGCATTAAAAAATCTAAATTAAATTGCTTTTTTGTTTGTTCCCTCTGTGGCCTCTGATGCATCTCCCTGGGAAGCCCTGTCTCACCTTCCTCCAAGTGGGTGCAGTTCAGGTTTTGTGAGTGCCTTCAGTTGGGAACAAGAGGCTCCCCTACCTCTAAGCTCAAACTCATCCTGTACACTTAGAGACAATTCCAAACTGGTCCCTCCTAGTTTATTAGGCAAAAAGAGTTGAGATCTTTTGTCCTCAATAGGAAAAGCCCTTCTCATTCTAGATCCTTATATCCAGCGGGCCTTCCAAACTCCAACTCCTCACTAAAGCAGGTGTGTCACTTTAGGCCAGGCTTCCAGCAGGGGTTAGAGGCTGCTCTGTGTCCAGACTTGTGCAGAGGTGGATGCTGACGTCAGTGAGAGGTGAAGCCTGCTGGACCTCTGGGTGGAGTGGGGACTTGGAGAATTTTTGTGTCTAGCTAAAGGATTTTAAATGCACCAATCAGCACTCTGTGTCTAGCTAAAGATTTGTAAACGCACCAATCAGCACTCTGTAAAATGGACCAATCAGCACTCTGTAAAATGGACCAATCAGTGCTCTGTAAAATGGACCAATCAGTAGCATGTGGGCGGGGCCAAATAAGGGAATAAAAGCTGGCCACCTGAGCCAGTAGCGGCGAGCTGTTGGGGTTTTCTTCCTCGCGGTGTTGGTTTTGTTCTTTTGCTCTTCATAATAACAGTTGCTGCTGCTCACTCTTTGGGTTCACGCTACCTTGAAAAGCTGCAGCACTCATGGTGAAGGTCTGCGGCTTGACTCCTGAAGTCGGCCAGACCACAACATCGCATGAGTTGGCAAGACCACGAACCTACCAGGAAGAACAAACGACTCCCTAGGCGCCAACTTTTAGAGCTGTAACCCTCCCTGGGAAGGTGTGTGGCTTCACTCCTGAAGTCAGCAAGAACCCCCCCAGAAGGAAGAAATTCTGGACACACCATCTTTAAGAACTGTAACACAGTGAGGGTCCGTGGCTTCATTCTTGAAGTTAGCAAGACCAAGAACCCAAGGGAAGGAACCAATTCCAGACACATCAGTAACCACAATCCATTCCTCAGCACGCGTTTGCAAGTGCTAACTATGTCCTTGGCTCTGCAGAGAAAACTGAGCTGTGGCTGTTCGTGGCCTCAAAAACTCAAGGTCTAGGGTAAGGAAGAAAGACGACTAAACAAATGATGACCTCCCAGTGTGACGGTGTGGTAGTAAAAGCATGCCCGAGGCATCAGGGCCACTCAAGGGAGGTAGGAATTTCTGCGTTTCTGGAGCACTGCAGGCTCCCAGAGCTTCCTGGGGATTGAGGCTTGGGGACTTGTGGGACACTCAAATGGAGAAGGCCCAATCTAGGGGAGGGCAGGCTGGGCAGAGGGAGCAGCCGTGCCAAGGCATAAGAGGTGTGTAAGAACATTTCTGTGTGACTGGGGATGCGTGGCATAAAGATTGAGGGGTGGGCCGATAGCCTGACTTTCCCCTGAAGCTTCCCAAGCCCTTGTGACGTCTATCACCCTGCCGGGGCACAGGCAGCAATGTCTGATTCAGCACAATTCAGGGGAGATCTGTGAGTGACAGCCCTGTCATTAGCAGGGCAGAGGGGCACTGTCCCCGGATCAGCTTTTGAATGTGACAGGCAGGCTGTCAGCTAGCAGACCCATTCACCCCCAGCCAGAATCTCACCTCTGCTGCCCCCATCTTGTCTCAGGAAGGAGGATCTCCCTCCCGCTGAATCACCCGGCGCTTCCTGGAGGCTGAGGCCAGTAGCAGCTCGCTTTTCAGTGGGGGGCTGGGCAGGCTCCGTCTTCAGGGCCGGGGTGTCTCCAGATTCTGGCTCCCCGTTGACGATGGTGAAGCCTGCAGCAGCAATGGACTAACTGCTGTTCTGCCTAGCTGTGGGCACTCAGAGGGTCCTGAGCAGGGCTCACTGCTTATTCCATGTCTGTATCCCCCCATCCTCTCCCTCCCCAGCGCCTGGCGCAGGGCAGGGACTTCATCCGTGTTTGTTAAATAAATGTGCTAAGAAAGGGAAAATAAAAGCGAGAAAGATGGGGAGACAGAGAAGCGAGATTGATTTCTTAATGGGAGAAAAAGAGACCAGATATTGGGGCACTGACAGCACCAGATACACAGACATGACCCCGAGACCTGGAACCGCGGCACAATTGGCCACAGAGATGACAACAGCCCCAGATGACACCTGTGGGGCACTGGTTAAATGCCAGGCAGTGTTGCCATCTCTTTATAAGCGTGAACTTGAACTCTCACAACTCCATTTTGCAGTCCAGAAAACTGAGGCAAAATGTGGCTAAGTAACTTGCCCAAGGTTACACAGCTAATGCATGAACCCAGGCAGCCTGGCCTCAGAGCCTGCACTTCTAGCCGTGCAGTGTGACAGATAATCATGGGTGTGGCAGGGAGCAGTCTTCATGGGATCCAGAGGAGATAGCAGCCCCAGGGGACAAGAGCACTGACCAGGAGGGAAGGGCCATCACTACTTTCTGGTGATCTGCTCAGTGCAGGCTCTGGACCTCTGGCCTTGGCACTGGCTTCCTGGAGACGATTCTGCACTCACTCACTGGCCGCTGCAGTGTGCTGGATGGAAGATTGCTGATGAGAAGGTGATGGTCTCGAGGAGGACTTCTTTGGCCTCCAGTGCCAACTGTGGGTCAAAGGAGCCCAGCTCCCAAAGCCTTTGACACCATCTGTTTTTGTTGCAGAAACAGCTGACCAGATGGTCAGCTTGCTTTGCCAGGTGCCCAGATCCCTGCCAGCACGGCTGGCTGAAAAGGTCAGCAGAGTAAAGATGTGTTCCCACAGCAGCTTTCAAGGGGTACCGAGAAGCCTTTCTCTGCAGAGCCCACCGTCTCTTCCCTAGCACGTCCTTCCCTCCCTAGCTCTCCTTGGGCTGACACCTCCTACCCCAGTGTCTGCTCCTGAACTAATAGTCACCACTATTTGAGTATTCCCATGTGCCAGGCCCTATACCAAGCCTATTGCATGCCTCTTCTCATTGAACCCTCACCACTGTATCCTATAAAGCAGGTATCATCTCTTCTCTCTATAGCCAGGGAAGGGAGCCTTGGGGCATTCCTTAACAAGCCCCTGGTCTCACAAATGCTAAATGGTGGAGCTTGGGTTCCAAACAGGAGGTGTTGGTGCCAAAGCCCAGCTCTTTAGCTGGGCCTGTGAAGACTGGCTTTGCTTTCTGAGCTTCACACAGGGGTCTTGGGTTCTTCTTTCTTTTAGCATTGACTTTTTCAGCCTGCCTACCTTCATCTTGGATGGGAAACTAAGAACAAGGGTGTTTCCAAGAGTGGAGCTGGCAGCCTCTGTCACAGGCGGATGGGAGCCCAAAGGTGTCATCTTCATCTAATGCTAAAATGCTTCACAGGGATTAAACACACTGCCTGCCGCAGTGGTTCCCGCGGCCACGTGGGGGCTGGGTGGCTTAAATTGGGGAGGTGCAAATGTGATGGGGGGGACCTTTGGTGAGGGATACACACCCAGGACGTGCAGGTAAAGGAAATCCAGACTGGATCCACCTATAGTGCCAAACACGCCCACGTCTAGTCTGGCTTGACTAGACTTGGACATGTTTAATCAAGCTGCCCTGATTTATTGCTGACTGCATTCTCCAGGCCACAGCGCCATCTGCAGGGCAGCCCTGCACCAGTGGGGGCAGGTCCTGGGGCCTGTCCCAAGACCCTGTGATGGTCAGCATTAAGGTAAAGGTTGTGAGCTACAAAGCCGGCAGCGATTGCAGTCCTTTCAAACTTAGGGCAGTCGTACAGGCACCACCCCTTCTCAAAAACCAACCTCCTGAAATGATATGGGCAGATATTAGCATGCCCATTTTATAGACGAAGAAACTGGGCCTCAGAAAGCCACAGTCACCCCCCAAGGGTGGAGTCAGGCAGGATTCCAACTCAGGCTCTTTGACAAAAAACTCTGGGCTCTACATCTGCCTCTCCTGATGCAGAAGAAAGAGAAGAAGCATGGAGGGTAAAGGATGAAACGAAAAGCCACTGGCTGGGTGGATTGAGAGCCAGGATTCGTGGCTTGGTTTTGTCGCACTGTCTCTGCTGCCAAGCCCTACTCACCCCCACCAGGAAGAGCAAACATTCCCAGACACAACATCCTCCTGGGTCTGTCATCAGGTTGACAGAGAGAAAATCCAGCTCCTTACAGGAGACTGTCAGGGTGGGCTGGGGTGGAGTTTTTAAATGTCTCAATGACTGGGAAGATAATTGAGGACATTATATTTTTTACTCTTTTCAGTGCCTGTCTCAGCAGCAAGCACTTGTCAGCCAGATCCTGGAGGCCGAAGGCTGACTACCCTGACAAAAAGAAGACACTCAAGTTGTCTAAATTCATCGATTTTTCTGAAATTTGAAATCTGCAATTTCCGGAGCTGTGTTCTGTTGTTAAGTGGCTGTCCAAATTCCTGAGCTCATGTTTAAGTGTCGCCGACAAAGAAGGAAACAATCCAATCAGGTTTACATTGGCGGTTCAATTAGACACATATGAGGTAGTCACTCAGAAGCGGTTCACAGCAAATTTATTCCTGGGACAACCTTCTTTTACCACCCAACTTAAATCTCCCAGGAATTTGTTCCAAGAATAGAAGCTAACTGCTATAATATCCCGAGCTAATTGCAATATTATCCTGATTGGAGCCTAATGAGAAGGCACATCTGCCTCGCTAGCCAGCACTGCCTCTCCCCCTACACAGAGCCCTCAGAGATAGATTATCTTGTTCTAGACAGCTTTGTTATTTGATTATCTACACTATAGCTCTTTCTTGCTAATTTACCACTTTTACATATTTATGCCCCCTAATTAGTCAACAAGTATTTATTAAACACCTACTGCATGCTCATCCCATGTATCCCAAGCAAACAGAAGGATGTTTGCTTCCGGTTCCAAAGAGAAATACATGCTTCTTTGGGGTGCTGGTCTCTTTTGGGGTCTTCAGTCAGATGAACAAGTAACATATATGGATCAGAAACTTATGCCTGTAATCCCAGCGCTTTGAGAGGCCAAGGTGGGCAGATTGCTAGCGCCCAGGAGTTCAAGACCAGCCTGGGCAACATAGTGAAGTGTCACCTCTACTAAAAATACAAAAAATTAGCTGGGCATGGAGGTGTGCACCTGTCATCCCAGCTACTTGGGAGGCTAAGGTGGGAGGACCACCTGAACTCAGAAAGTCAAACCTGCAGTGAGCCGAGATGGCACCAATGCACTCCAGCCTGGACAATGAACCTTGTCTCAAAAAGTAAAAATCATATATATGCAGCAGTATTTGTACGTAAAACACATGCTTGGAAACCCACACGTCTGGGATATCTGCATATGCCTTGTGGAGAATTTCTAGGGTCGGTTAGAAGGAGAAAGAAACATAAATTATATTGTTCTGGAACTCTTCTCTACATCACCCAGCCGAGGAGCATAAGGAGAGTGCTTTCATTTCATTCATTAACTCACCAAATATTTGCTGAACATTGACCCTGTGCTTGGCCCCAGAAGAGAATTTTGCAAAAACACAGTCCCTTATTTCAGATTTGACAACACAGTGGGGAGACTATATCTTTTTTTTTTAATGCAAATCATAGAACAGAGGCAACATTCAGGACTGATGAGGAAATTTGGCCCTTGGGAAATGGTCAGAACGGCTCATTCTGCTAAGAGCAGAGCATCTTGTAAAGTTCTACCCAGCTTGTTGCCCCACTTAGCCCTCCACAGGTTGCGGAAGCAGAAGAGGGAGCCACTCCTGTGGACTCAATTCTCACCCTTGCTGGTGAAAAGAGAAATCATGGGTTCTCATTGCTCACAGCTCTGCCTGGAACGACTTCCTTCTCTCCACTTCCAGACCCAAGCCCAGGCTTCCCAGGTTTCACCTTTGGACCTTTTCCCACTCCCTGCACCTGGGGCCCAATGCTCAACCCACCTCTCTACCCTTGGCATCCTTCCGTGGTTAAATGTAGGCTTCTCTCTTCCTGTCTGTGGCTGTCCGTTACCCCAAGTCAAGGCCTTACATCACCTTGCTCGCCTCAGGGAACCCACCCCTCCTGCGCCTCGGAAGGCTGAACTCCTACAGTGCCCAGTTTGTCCTGACCTCAGAAGTACAACCCACTCCACTCAGAAGAAGCAAAGAGGGGTTTTTAAAGAAATATAAGCAGCTTCACTGAGAGCTCATGGCTAAACTCAGATTTTAAGAGGACAAGAACAAGAAAAAGGACAAATTGTAAGAATAGTTTCAGAAATGTTTACTAATGAGATGAATATGTGTAAGGCATTTAGCACAGTGCCTAAAACACATTAAGTAACCAACAAATGGTAGGTGGTATTAATACCATTATTATTAAATCCCAGAATGACGAGATTACAAGAACATGCACACATAACAAAAGCAGTCTTAAAAAGCTAATTTTTTTTTTCAGGGCCAGAGTAACAGGAAAGAGACCCATTATTCAAGACAGATGATGTAATGTGAATAAAAGAGTGAACATTTTAAGGTGTCTTTTATCCTAATATTCTTCTGTTTTCTTTAGAAGAGAGAATTATCTTCAACCTGGAAAGGATAATAAACATGATTATGGGGAAATCGGGACCCAAGACAGATGACGCAGCACTCAAGGAGAGCCCTTCTGCTTTATGCGAGCCCAACGCTCTTAACTCCCACTAAATATACCCAAGTCCTTTACTGTGTGGTTGCAAACCCCTACTGTAAATATTGAGAAGTCAGGAAGCTGAGAAGGGTGGGGAAGAATTAGAGATGAGCAAATGTTGCCCAGGTTTGTGAGAGAAGGGGGATTCCAGAAACTACAGATGGGTATGTCTGAGATTGATCTGCAGTCAGATAGGCTTATAAAAGATGGCAGATGTTACTAGTGGTCAAAGTGGCTAAGAGTAATTAGTCAAATTAACCTTATTTCCATTGCTCAGGGATTGGTACATGAAGGCATTGCTACGCATATTGCATACTTAATTTTAGCAAAGCACCTGATAGAATCTTTCAGGATTCCTGGTGGGTAAGATGGAGAAATAAGGGCTAGATTTAAAGTATGATTAGCCAAGTTACATAGATGGCTGAACCTCCACATCTAATGAATGGAACAATGTCCACTACAGAGCACATTATAGGTGCTTAGTAAATATCTGTTACTGTTACACAAATGAATCAAGTTGGAGGGAAGTTTCTGATGGTATGTCCCCATCCAATTTTATATATATATAAAATATAATATATTTTGCACCCAGGCTGGAGTGCAGTGGCGCAATCTTAGCTCAGTATAACCTCCACCTTCCGAGTTCAAGCAATTTTTGTGCCTCAGCCTCCCAAGTAGCTGGGATTACCGGTGTGTGCCACCACGCCCGGCTAAGTTTTGTATTTTTAGTAGAGACGGGGTTTCACTATGTTGGCCAGGCTGGTCTTGAACTCCTGACCTCAAGTAATCTGCCTGCCTCAGCCTCCCAAAGTGCTGGGATTACAGGTGTGACCCACCATGCCCAACCTCAGGTGTAGTATTGATCCAAAATGATATCTGATGTACAGGAAGGGGGAAAGATCTGTTTTGTATGTAAGAGTAAGTTAGTCGAAATATAGTGAGGACAGTCAGTGAATGGAGGGGAACATTGAAAGAGATAGTGCTGGCAGAAGGCTGCAGGATGTTTACACCCCTGGGACCCCAAGGAGGTTGGTGAGAAGAGAGTCAAGTTAGATTGCAATCAGATGGCGCCATAGACCCGGCTAAGATTGGACTGGGTAGGCCCACCCTAGGCTGATCCCGTTCGGGAGCCTCTTCCTTATATGAATGGACTGTAATAAGAAAAGCCTGTGATGATAAAGTCTATTAAGGGTGGAAGCAATATGTGGTCTAGTTGGCTCTGCCTTGGGAATAGTTTTAGGGAGGGGTTTGTGCAGTGGACAAAGGATGAGATCAAGAGGAGACTCTATTGAAAAAAAGAAAAAAAAATGCCATCCAGGCACGGTGGCTCATGCCTGTAATCCCAACCCTCTGGGAGGCTGAGGTGGGTGGATCAGCTGAGGTCAGGAGTTCGAAACCAGCCTGGCCAACATGGCAAAACCCCATCTCTACTAAAAATACAAAACTTAGCCGGGTGTGGTGGCACACACCGGTAGTCCCAGCTACTTGGGAGGCTGAGGCTATACAAAAATTAGCCAGGTGGGGTGGTGCATGCCTGTTGTCCCAAATACTCAGGAGGCTGAGGCAGGAGAATCACTTGAACTCAGGAGGCAGAGGTTGCAGTGAGCCAAGATCACGCCATTGCACTCTAGCCTGGGTGACAGAGTGAGACTGTCTCAAACAAACAAAACTATTGGGGAAAGGAAGACAAAGTCAGCAACTTCCTGGGTACCCAAGTCCGGCACATCAGCAGGTGTTTGTGTGCTCCCCCCGACAAGTTCCTCACCACCTTTACCAGGGGTTACAGCTCCATGGGAGAAAAGCCTGATAGGTGGAGATGGCAGAGCCCCTTCTCCTAATGGTGGCTGTGTGTCTGCTTGGCTTAGCAGCAGTGTGACAGCTTGCTCTTTGGATCGCTCTTCCTTGCCCAACTACTGCCAAACCAGGTTGAGCCCACCTCAAGGGATTGGGCAGGTAGAAAGTGTGGGTCAGTACAATCCTCACAATAACTTAGATGACGACATTAGAGCTCAGACATTAGAGCTCAGAAAGGTAGATGTTTTTAACCATGGTCACACAGCTGGCCTACAGTGGAGCAAGGATTTGAACCCAGAGTCTTAATGCTAGGATCCAAATTGTCAACCACACAGCACTGGGCTGGCATCTGCAGAATCTCAGGTTCTGAGATTGGGTCCCCACATTTTAAGAAGGATGTGGACAGATCAAAGGGGTAGCTCCTGGAGAGCCACCAGGAGAACGGGAGAATGGGAGAGGCTGGAAATCTTGTCCTGTAAGAAATACAGGGAGGGCCGAGTGCGGTGGCTCACACCTGTAATCCCAGCACTTTGGGAGGCCGAGGAGGGCGGATCACCTGAAACCAGGAGTTCGAGACTAGCCTGGCCAATGTGGTGAAAACTCCATCTCTACTAAAAATACAAAAATTTGCCAGGTGTGGTGGCGCACGCCTGTAATCCCAGCTATTTGGGAGGCTGAGGCAGGAGAATTGCTTGAACTCGGGATGTGGAGGCTGCACTGAGCCAAGATGGCGCCACTGCACTCCAGCCTGGGCAACACAGTAAGACTCCATCTCCAAAAAAAAAAAACAAAAAACAAAAAACCTACAGGTCATCAGGGAATTCTGTCTGAGATAAAAATGACTTGGGAAAATGCAATAACTGTCCTCAAGCTCTCAGAGAAATGTTATGTGGCAAAACACAGACATTTATTTTTCATAGCAGTATAAGAATAATGGTAATGATATATTTTGACATTCTAAGGATTAGAGAGTTATCCTAAACCGGAGTGGGCTGCTTTGAGATACTGAGCTCCCGGGCACTGAAAGTATTCAAGCAGAAGCTGGATGTCATGGGCCAGGCTTTCAATAAACCTGAAATCTACTCTTCCTCTTCTCAAAGTGCCTACAGCACGGCTGAGACCTACTTTCTCAGCTCCCTTGTCACTATTGGTTTCTTGACTATAAATTTCATACAGCTTTACCGAGGGATAACCTATGTACTGTACAATTTATCCATTGTAAGTGAACAATTTGATGGTTCCTAGTAAATCTATACAGCTCTGCAATCATTGCTACGGTCCAGTTGCAGAAACTTTGTGATTATAGTTTTTTTCCCCAAAGAACATTATTAGCATCAAGGGTAGATCCAGGTCCCATGGGCCGTGGTCTCCGCAGACCTAACAGCAGGACTCTGTGCTGTGGCTCTTGCCTCACAGCCTCTCCTCATTCCTTCTTGGGTGTCACCTGATCTGCCCTGCCACATGCTGCTTGGCCTTCCTGGGCCCTGGGTGCCTCCCCCCACCCAAGGTGTCTCCGATGGGCACCTTTGCTTCCTTCCCTCCTCCTCTGCCATGGCGTGGGGGCAGGGGCTTGGTCTTCAGCAGATTCCAAGGCAGTAGGGTATACTCAGAAGTATGTGAGCCCTGCTACCCCAGAGCTGTATTTGGCTCATGGCCATGTGGCCTCCAGCAAGTCACCTTATATTCGTTATTTCTGTTTTGAGACAGGGTCTCACTCTGTTGCCTAGGCTGAGTGCAATGGCTCAGTCTCATCTCACTGCAGCCTCTATCTTCCGGGCTCAAGTGATCCTTCCACATCAGCCTCCCAAGGAGCTGTGACTACAGGCACGCACCACCACACCCAGCTAATTTTGTTTATTTATTTATTTATTTATTTATTTATTTATTTATTGTAGCGACGAGGTCTCACTATGTTGCCCAGGCTGGTCTTAAACTCCTGGGTTCAAACTCCTGGATTCGCCTGTCTCAGCCTCTTAAAGTGCTGTGATTACAGGCATGTGCCACCATGCCTGGCCACTTTATCTTCTTGGACCTTAATTTTTCCCCTTTTGTAATGCAGACATAATATACATGCCTTGCTCGGTGCAAAGATCAGAAATGATGAAATGATGTGTATCAAGTGACTAGCACAATATCTACTTTTTTTTTTTTTTTTTTTTTGAGACAGTCTTCCACTGTCGCGCAGGCTGGAGTGCAGTGGCGCGATCTTGGCTCACTACAGCCTCCGCCTCCCAGGTTCAAGTGATTCTTCTGCCTCAGCCTCCCGAGTAGCTGGGACTACAGGCGTGCACCACCACACCTGGCTAATTTTTGTATTTTTAGTAGATAGTTTCACCATGTTGGCCACGCTGGTCTCGAACTCAAGTGATCCACCTGCCTTGGTCTCCCAAAGTGCTGGGATTACAGGTGTGAGCCACCATGTCTGGCCAATATTCACTATTTTTAATAAATGGTATCCATGATTACTGCTGCCACCTTCATTATTGACACTCAAAAGTCCTCTGCTTTGAGCGCTTATTTTGCCTTTCTCTTCTTGGAATATCCCTGTTTTCTGGGTCTCTCCTGGTGTCCAGCCCTTACCATAGACACAGAGATGGATTCCCCTACACTTGGGAACCCCCAAGGCTGACCCTAGCCAGGGAGTGCATGTGGGTTAGTTGGGATGGAGCAGCAGCACCACCTAGTGGCAATGTGCAGCAGCACGCTAATTACTGGCCAAATGCAGGAGTTGGTCTAATAGCTACATTAGGACACTTTGGAAGTCGCCTACTCCAGCTGTTCGTCCAGTGCTTGTGTGACCACAGCATCCTCCTAGAGATGGCTTCCCATGACATGCACTAGAGCAAAAGAGGATGGAGAGAATGAAAAAACAGGAGGGAATTTATCAGTGTAATGCTCCTCAGGGACCACAGGGTAGTTAAAAAAAGTTTAAAAAGCATCTCCACCAGATGTAGAGATAGGAAGTAGGTCGGTGGTTAGTGGTTGCCCAGTGCTGCGGGGGATGGGGGAAATGAGGATTGATCACTAAAGGGTACAGGGTTTCTTTTCAGGGTGATAGAAATGTTTTAAAAGTGACCAGGCACAGTGGTTCACGCCTGTAATCCCAGCACTTTGGAAGGCTGAGGCGGGCAGATCGCTTGAGGTCAAGAGTTCAAGACCAGCCTGGCCAACATAGTACATCCCCGTCTCTACTACTAATACAAAAATTAGCCAGGTGTGGTGGTGCATGCCTATAATCCCAGCTACTCGGGTGGCTGAGAAAGCAGAATCGCTTGAACCCGGGAGGCAGAGGTTGTAGTGAGCTGAGATTGTGCCACTGCACTCCAGCCTGGGCAACAGAGTGAGACTCTGTCTCAATAATAATAATAGGCCAGGCGCTGTGGCTCACACCTGTAATCCCAGCACTTTGGGAGGCTGAGGTGGGTGGATCACAAAGTCAGGAGATCCAGACCATCCTGGCTAACACGGTGAAACCCCATCTCTACTAAAAGTACAAAAAATTAGCTGGGCGTGGTGGCGGGCGCCTGTAGTCCCAGCTAGTCTGGAGGCTGAGGCAGGAGAATGGCGTGAACCCGGAAGGCAGAGCTTGCAGTGAGCTGAGATCGTGCCACTGCACTCCAGCCTGGGTGACAGAGCAAGACTCTGTCTCAAAAAAAAAAAAAAAATAATAATAATAATAATAATAATGCTGATGAGTTTGTGGCCAGCACTGCTATTCATACTTGGACAAGATATCTCCAGGGAAACACCAGAGCAAGACATTCAAAGGTAGGAGACATTTAATCCTCATAACCCTATGAGGCAGGAATCAGTATCCCCATTTAACAGTTAGGCAAACTGAGGCTCCGCGATACAGAGGCTAAGAGTCAGTGGCCTGAGGCTAGCAGCCAGTGAGGGACATGGCAGGGATGCAAACATGGCTTTCAGGGACCCAAGTCTTTCCTCAAAACTACTGTACTGAAAACTGCTCCCCACTTACACTTACTCTGACTCACCGGCTCCAGCGTCACAGTGTGGGAAAGGCTGTAGTGGATGTGCTGTGAAAAGTCCCAGCAAGGCGTACTACCAGGGCCTAAGGCCAGGACAGCACCTCTGAGTTTTTCCTCCATAAACACAGCCTAGGAGTTTCAATAGAAACTCTGCTAAACTGGGCCGGGCGCGGTGGCTCAAGCCTGTAATCCCAGCACTTTGGGAGGCCGAGATGGGCGGATCACGAGGTCAGGAGATCGAGACCATCCTGGCTAACACGGTGAAACCCCGTCTCTACTAAAAAATACAAAAAAAAAACTAGCCGGGCGAGGTGGCGGACGCCTGTAGTCCCAGCTACTCGGGAGTCTGAGGCAGGAGAATGGCCTAAACCCGGGAGGCGGAGCTTGCAGTGAGCTGAGATCCGGCCACTGCACCCCAGCCTGGGTGACAGAGCGAAATTCTGTCTCAAAAAAAAAAAAAAAAAAAGAAACTCTGCTAAACTGGATGGAGAAAGAGATTTCAAAAAGCTTAAGACATTCAGAAGCACATGGCTATCCTCTCCTCCTTCCAAAGCAAGGTCTTTATTGTCTGAGCAATCAATAAGTATTTAACGAGGGCTGGCACTGTACTAGGTACACTGTAGCATAAATACAAAAGTGAAAGACACAGTCCCTGCCCATTTGAGGTGTACAATCTAAATATTTCTCGGAGGCCAGGTGCGGTGGTTCGTGCCTGTAATCCCAACACTTTGGGAGGCCGAGGAGGGCGGATCACAAGGTCAGGAGTTCAAGACCAGCCTGGCCAACATGATGAAACCTTGTCTCCACTAAAAGTATAAAAATTAGCCGGGCATGGTGGCAGATGCCTGTAGTCCCAGCTACTCAGGAGGCTGAGGGAGGAGAATCACTTGAACCAGGAGGCAGAGGTTGCTGTGAGCCGAGATCACGCCACTGTACTCTAGCCAGGGCAATACAGGAAGACTCCATCTCAAAAAAAAAAAAAAAAAGGTTAAGTAGTAGAAGTGCTTAGGTACTAATGTGGCCAACAGTTGTCTGGATAAACGAGCTCTAGACCACTCAGTGAACCTCCTCTCCAGCACATTTTTATTAATATTTGAAGAACAACATAAAACACATTTCCAGGTGGTCCATGAGATGCCATGGCCATCCAAAAGAGGGAGGCAATGTGGTGGAGCGTGGTCTTGACAAGAGCTATTTCCCATAGTGAAATTTGCCACGAACTCGGGGGCAATACCAGGGGTAGCTGGGAATCTCACATCTCCCAAATTAGCCCCTTGAGTCGGTCACAAACTCTCAGAACTCACAGGCGTGTGGTTCTGGGAATGGAAACTAACCAAAACCATCATCTGGACTGAGACAGCCAAACCTGGGGACAGTGCCATCCCAAAAGTGAACCGTCTGCTTCACGGGAAGAACATTTATCTCAGAGCAGGGATGTGGGAGCTGCAGTCACAGAGGACCGAGACCCCAGACGGTGATGGCCAGAGGGCAGACACGACCCTCCGCTGGCCTGCGGGGCTCTGGGAAAGAGCTGCGGCCTCACACTGGGTCACCTCCCCACGGGGTCCCCATCTGGCAAATAAGGGAAGGAACTAGCATATGGAAAAGGCTGGATACCTTCCTAGTGTTATGAAGTCTTGACATGCCAGTGAAAAAGCTCACTGATATCTTTAAATAAAGCATCTTACATCAGGAACTCTGGGCTAAAATACAGCGTCAGGGAAAAGTTCCACCAATCTGAACCTCTTCACACCTGCAATAAGCAAGTACCTTTTCTTTCCTGAGGATCATTTGCTTTAAAGCACTGAAGAGTGAGCTGCTAGCCCCAGCAGTGATGGTAAAGAATGACGATTTCTGGGGAGTGTAGTGGCTCATGCCTGTAATCCCAGCACTTTGGAAGGCTGAGGTGGGTGGATCCCTTGAGCTCAGGAGTTAGAGACCAGCCCAGGCAACATGGCGAGACCCCATCTCCACAAAAAGTACAAAAATTACCCAGGTGTGGTGTGCACACCTGTAGGAGGCTGAGGTGGGAGGATTGCTTGAGCCCGAGAGGCGGAGGTTGCAGTGAGCTGAGATCGTACCACTGCACTCCAGCTTGGGCGACAGAGTGGGAGGCTGTTTCAAAAAAAAAAGAAAATTTTTAATAAAAAATAAACATGAAAAGGTACAGTAAAAATATGGTTAAAAAAAAAAAAAAAAAGAATGACAATTCCTTCCTTTTTACGAAAGGACACCAAAGACTAACAGGACTCCAGATGCCAGACCAGGATTGCAACAGCTGAACTCAGTTCCCACTCCAACTCTCCTCCTCCTTTCCACCATGAAGCCCGCTCTGGCCTTCGAGCACCAGCAAGCCCTCTGGACTTCTCCATCAACTGCAAAAATGATCATCAAAGCTACTGAAATGGAAGGTGGTGTTTAAAACTTAACACGGGGTTTCTTAAAATGTAACCTGCTTTTCTTATGGCATGGATAAGGCACTGTGAGAAAGCTGCCTCCACTCCCAGCACACAGGTACACGTGCACGCAGCAGAGACCAGCCGATGTGGCCACAAGGCACAAAGAATAGATCCTTCTGGTCAATTCTGGTTCTGGAGCTGGTTGGCGAGCCAGTCCAGGCCTTCGTAAAGCCCATGTCCGGTAGTGGCACAAGTAGCCTGAATGTGCCAGTTTCCGTAGCGGAGGGAATGGAGGCCGAGCTTGTCTGTTATCTCTGCCGCGTTCATAGTATTAGAGAGATCCTTGAAAAAGAACATTCAAAAGTCAATGTATACTGTTGTATCCGTATAGCGAAATATGCTCTTCCCTGCTAAATGTGCCCAAACCCACAGTCTTCTCTGTCGATGGCAACCCCAACCTTCCAGTTGCTCAGGTCAAAAAGCTTAAAATTATCCTAACTTTTTTTCTCTCAATGTCACAGCCAATCTGTCAGGAACTCCTAATGGCTCTGCCATCAAAATTTATCCAGAATCTGACCACTTACTAACTTCACAGCTGTCACCCCAACCTGACGCCACATCACTTCTCACCTGGATGACTGAAATAACTTCCTAACTGGCCTCCCTCTTCTCTGCTCTGGATCCCGTGAAGCCTGTTCTCAACCAAGCCACCAGTGAATCAGATTGAATCATTCCTCTATCAAAACTGCAACAGCTCCCCCTCTCTCAGGATACGAGTCAGAGTCCTTACGGTCCACAAAGCCTCCTGGACTGGAGACCTCACCGAAGTGGTCGGTTCCATCTTTTCAATATGGCACTCACCATACGTTACTGTATCATGACATTTACTTACTTAAGTATATTTATTATTAACTGTCTATCTGTCTCCCCTAACTAGAATGCAAGCTTTACGAGGGCAGGAATCTTGATCTATCTTGTCCTCTGATGTATCCCAAGTGCCTCAAAATGTGCGTGGCACAGAATAAGCTCAAACTAAATTTGAATAAATCAGCAGTAAAGAACAAAGTAAGGCCGGGCACGGTGGCTGACACCTGTAATCCCAGCACTTTGGGAGGCCAAGGCGGGTGGATCACCTGAGGTTGGGAGTTTCACACCAGCCTGACCAACATGGAGAAACCCTGTCTCTACTAAAAATACAAAATTAGCCAGGAGTGGTGGCGCATGCCTGTAATCCCAACTACTTGGGAGGCTGAGGCAGGAGAATTGCTTGAGCCCAGGAGGCGTTAAGTTACGATGAGCCAAGATAGCGCCATTGCACTCCAGACTGGACAACAAGGGTGAAACTCCATCTCAATAAACAAACAAACAAACAAACAAACAAACAAATGAACAAAGTAGCTGTAGATGTACTGATATGGAAGGACTTCCAAGATATGCTAAGTGAAAGAACACAATCATACAATTGCTTACACAGGCAGAGAAAGTTGGATTTCTGGAAAGAGAAAGAATAAATTTAACAATGAAGAGTAGCACTAGACTATTTCACTTGAATATTCTGAAGTGTATGCGTATTTATACCATGAGAACATTCTGTTTTTATCATTGAAAACAACAAAGGCACCAAGCACAGTAGCTTACACCTGAAATCCTAGCACTTTGCAGGGCTGAGGTGGGAGGACAGCTTGAGCACAGGTGTTTGAGACCAGCCTGGGCAACATGGCAAGATCTCAGCTCTACAAAAAAAAAATTTTTTTTTTTTTTTGAGATGGAGTCTCACTCTGTTGCCCAGGCTGGAGTGCAGTGGGGTGAACTCGGCTCACTGCAAGCTCCGCCTCCCGTGTTCACGCCATTCTCCTGCCTCAGCCTCCCAAGTAGCTGGGACTACAGGCACCCGCCACACGCCCAGCTAACTTTTTGTATTTTTAGTACAGACGAGGTTTCACCATGTTAGCCAGGATGGTCTTGATCTCCTGACCTCCCGATCCGCTCGCCTCGGACTCCCAAAGTGCTGGGATTACAGGCGTGAGTCAAAAAACAAAACAAAAAAAAAAAAGAAAAATTAAAAAATTAGCTGGGCATGGTGGCATGTGCCTGCAGTCCCAGCTACTTGGGAGGCTGAGGAAGGATCACTTGAGCCCAGGAGTTCGAGGCTGCAGTAAACTGTGATCACACCACTCCACTCCAGCCTGGGCGATAAAGACCCTGTCTCAAAACACAACAAAACAAAAAAATCACACACACATACACACACACTCCAGATTCATTTTCTTTCTTTAATAGTCATATATTCACTAGTGCAAACTCTGGAATGACATTGAACCTGAACAGTGGAGTAACGGTTGTACAAATGATGATCCATTGACCATTTAAAATCATGTCTACAAAGAGTTGGATAACAAGAGACAATGCTTTTGATAAATCTAAAGTGATAAAGCAGATGCAACATTGTCAAAACAGTATGATCTCAATTACATAATGAATGTACTCATGGAAGAGAAAGTGAAGGAAGGATGTCAGAATGTGACAGTGGTCATCTCAGGCTGGTACAATTCCACGTGGTTCTTTCTACCTTCTTTTTCATGCTTAGTTTAGCTCAGAGTCCTGAGGTTGGATAGTTCTATGCTTGGTCTTCCTCCCATGTTTCTTTTACTGTTTTACATTTATGTACAAGCCCTTTTCCTCCTCCAAAACAGGCCCTATATGATCCAATCTCATCTCCTCTCTCCCCCGCTCATTCTGTTCCAGCTGTGCTGGCTGCCATGCTGTTCCTAGAACCGTGTGGCTCCCTTCCTCCCGGCCTTCTGGTCTCTGCTCCGATGTCATCTTATCTGAGAGGCATTCCCAGTCTTTCCCACACCTACCCTGCCCCCTTACTATGCTTTTCCTTCTTCCACAACACTTACCATCTGACATGTATTATTATTTATTTTACTGTGTAGCCCAGGATGGAGCGCAATGGAATAATCTCATCTCACTGCAGCCCCGAACTTCCAGGCTTAAGGGATCCTCCCACCTCAGCCTCCTGAATAGCTGGGACCACAGGTGCATGCCACCACATCCAGCTAATTTTTGTACTTTTTTGTAGAGATGGGGTTTCACTATGTTGCCCAGGCTGGTCTTGAACTCCTGGGCTCAAGTGATCCCCCTGCCACAGACTCCCAAAATGTTGGAAGTACAGGCATGAGCCACCACACCTGGCACATTACATTTTATTTATTGGTTGACTCTCTTCCCACTAGCAACGTAAACTCCATGAACACGAGGATTTTGTCTGTCTTGGTTTAAGCCTAAAACCAGGTCTGGAACTTAGTAGATGCTTGATGGCTCACACCTGTAATCCCAGCATTTTGGGAGGTCAAGGTGGGCGGATCACTTGAAGTCAGGAATTCACGACCAGCCTAGCCAATATGGCGAAACCCAGTCTCTATTAAAAATACAAAAATTAGGAGGGCATGGCAGCACATGCCTGTAATCCCCGTTACTTGGGAGGCTGAGGCAGGAGAATCACTTGAACCTGGGAGGTGGAGGTCACAGTGAGCTGAGATCACACCACTACTCCAGCCTGGGCAACAGAGTAAGACTGTCTCAGTAAGAAAAAGATATTCTAGCAAGGAGATGGTGGGAGATGTTATGGTTGGGACTGGAGAGAGGGAGGCAGACATCTCATTTAAATGTCTACATTCATAAGTGAGACATTTGGCAGTAAATTTCAGTTCCAGCATTCAGAAAGTCAGTAACAACATACCTGTTTATTGGCAAATACCAATAAAACTGCATTTGTGAGCTCATCATCCTCTAATAAGTAAGTTAGTACTTCCCGGGCCTCATCAATCCGCTCTCTGTCATTACTGTCAACCACAAAAATCAGACCTAGAAAGAAATCACGAGCATGTTAGTGATCTGAGCCTGGAAAACACAGCTGTTTATGTATCTTCACGGCTTCTCCCTGCTTCCGTGTGTGACTTCACAAAGGCAATCAATATGGAAGGATACATCATCTCTAGAGTTAGGAGGCCTGCTGTACACTCAACTCACCTTTTGCAGAAGCATCACAGCTCTGTACCATATTAACAACAAGAATATATACTGAAAAAGTTAGTCTCATTTTATAATCACTTAATTTCCACATCAGGGAAAAAACATGTTTTTTTATTTTTTAATTGATTGATTGATTGATTGATTTTGAGATGGAGTCTCACTGCAGCCCAGGCTGGAATGCAGTGGCATGATCTCGGCTCACTGCAACCTCCACCTCCCGGGTTCAAGCAATTCTCCTGTCTCAGCCTCCTGATTAGCTGGGATATAGGCACACCATCACACCCAGCTCATTTTTGTATTTTTAGTAGAGACAGGGTTTCACCATATTTGTCAGGCTGGTCTTGAACTCCTGACCTCAGGTGATCCGCCTGCCTCAGCTTCCCAAAGTGCTAGGATTATAGGCATGAGCACTGCGCCTGGCCAAAACATTGTTTTTTTAAAACATGTAAAGTTCATTATAATAAACAGCATTCTGGGTCTAGCTCTCTACAGCAAAACTTGAGACAAAAGCTTAAGTGCAGGTACTTTCTTTGGGAAGTGATCCCAGGGAGCAGGAATGAGGGCCTGAGGGAGTAAAACAGGGCAGAAGAGACAGACAATAGAAGTTATCAAGCTGGGCCCCCACTGTGGGACCACTGCTCGCTATTGCTGGACATTCTAAGAAGCCATATCAAATGCCCATCAGAACTGTCCACCCAGGAGACAAAAGAGGAAACAAGTATCCTTCAGTACCCATTCCCTGTTAGTCAAGAACAACTCCACAGGTGTTAGGCCACCCACACTTCTGGGTCACATTGGTATGAACACCAACAGATTCCTAGGGCATCTGTATAGCAATGAATTTGGCTGTTCTAGAAGGTAGCCTCTAAACCCTTGGACTTTGCAGAGTGATAGGAGTGTCTTTGTTATCATGGCGGGCGCACATCTGTAAGTTGATGCTAACAAGATGACTCAGGGTGGGCCCCTAGATAGTTTATGCTAACAAGATCACCTCTGGAAAAATGAGGGTGCTAAAGTTTGAGTCACATGGCCAATGATTCAATCAATTGTGCCTATGCAATGCAGCCCCAATAAGAATGACGAATACTGAAGCTCAGGAGAATGTCCCTGATTGGCAATACTCTATACATTGTCACGCGTCGATGTGCTGGAAAGGTAACGGCCCCTGACTCCACGAGGAAGAACACTGAAGGCTTTGTGTTTGCTGCCCTCCCAGATCTATGTGTCTTTCCCTTTGACTGATTCATTTGCATCCTTTTGCTTTATTGATCAATTAATAAAACTGTAATTGTACAGTTGTACATCAGGGATGGGGTGTAATGGTACATCCCTGAATTCTGTGAATCATTCTAACAAATGATCAAACCTGAGGGGGTAGTGGAAATCGCCAAATTCGTAGCCATCTGGCCAGAAGTGAGGGTGGTCTGAGGACCCCCAAACCTACTGCCAGCTGGTGGCTGAAGTTGGGGATTCTTGTGGAGGATGGTGCTCTCAACCTGTGAAATAAAGCCCAACTCCAGGGGGTTGGTGCTGGAAGTCTCTGCAGCATCCCATACTATAGCATCGGATACATCCCAGGAAGTAAAAGATACCTGGGGCAGGCCAAAGAAAGGCATCACCCCATCACGCCTGAGTGAGGGTGACCAAAGCCTGCACAGACCCAGTCACTGCTACATTGGCTGGAGGAAGCTGTGGGGCCAAAAGCATCTCCAGGGAGGGGCACAGGAAGCATCCAACATATCCTCCAAGAACAGGAAGGGGAGATGCCCTTGGCGGTAGTTCATGTGACATTAATGGTAACAACAATCTGTCAGCCAGGTGTGGTGGCTCACGCCTGTAATCCCAGCACTTCAGGAGGCCAAGGTGGGCAGATCACTTGAGGTCAGGGGTTCGAAACCAGCCTGGCCAACGTGGCAAAACCCCATCTCTACTAAAAATACAAAAATTAGCCGGGTGTGGTGGCGCACACCTGTGGTCCCAGCTACTCAGGAGGCTGAGGTGAAAGAATTGCTTGAATCCAGGAGGCAGCGGTTGCAGTGAGCCAAGATCGTGCCACTACTCTCCAGCTTAGGTGACAGAGTGAGACCCTGTCTCGGAAAAAACAAAAAAACAAAAAACAAAAAAATTGTGTTTGGCTAACAGTAAGCCCTTAACACAAAAATGTGAAGTGGCTGCCAAAAGAATAGTTTGATCCTAGACTGCATCACCAGTAGTGACGGGATCTCAGTTCCTAGGACATGGGTGACACCAGGCTTACTCTATATCAGGCAGAACATCCTGGGAACGTTACACAGGCAGTGCTGGACTCCACACTCTGAGACATGGGCAAACTGAAGAAATTCAAAAAACGACCAGGAGAGCAAAGGCATTCGACACTCGGCCATATGAAGACCAGCTGCTGTAACTGGAGATTTTACCTGGAGAAAAGATTCATGAGGGGCTGATGGCTATCTTAAAGTAGCTGAAAGTCTATGATGTAAAGAGGATCCAAGCATTTTATAGAGCTCTGTGAGGTGGACTGAAGATCAGTGGTGAAAACTACAGAAGTCAGCCTAACAGAGTGTCAGCAGATGAAGATGCAATGGGCTGCCTCAGAAGGCATTGCTGTCACTGGAGACGTTTGTTTGTGTACAGCTTCAGTCACAAGTCATGGGGACCCTGCAGAAGAGACCCTGGAAGGAAAACAGCAGCAGGATAAGATGACTTCTTGGTTTCCTCTGACAATGAGATTTCATGACTATGTCCAGGCGACTAAACCAGTGCTGGCCCTCTTCCCTTTCCCTCCGTGCCTCCCAGGCCCACTCAACAGCTGCCTGAACCCGCGGCTCCAGAGCAGCCTGCTATGGCTGATAGAGAGTTCCTGCGGCTTCGGCATGTTTGGGGCTTACGCGTGAGTCAATGTCATGTCTGCTACATCATATCAGATTAAAAAATGAAAAACATTCAAAACTCCCCTGAAGATTTCATATGCTATCAGCAGTTCTGGTCTCTCATCATAACTAAGGAAACCAGATTATCCAGAAATTTGAGATCCTTAGTCACCAATGCAGAACTGACAGGGAGGAAGCTGCCATATTATCCCTTTGCCATTCCTAATAAAGCTTTGTAATATTAGGTACCATTTTATACTGTCTTTATATAGGTCCTTACCTAAGAACCTAACATCAGACTGATCCTACATCTGAACTAGGAGAACCTACAAAAAGCATATTTACGGCTGGGCACAGTGGCTCACGCCTGTAATCCCAGCACTTTGGGAGGCTGAGGTGGGCGGATTACCTGAGGTCAGGAGTTCAAGACCAGCCTGACCAACATGGAGAAACCCCGTCTCTACTAAAAATACAAAATTTGCCAGGCATGGTGGTGCATGCCTGTAATCCCAGCTACTCGGGAGGCTGAGGCAGGAGAATTGCTTGAAACCAGGAGGCAGAGGTTGCGGTGAGCCGAGATCGCACCATTGTACTGCAGCCTGGGCAACAAGAGCGAAACTCCATCTCAAAAAAAAAAAAAAAAGTATATTTACACATGTTACTATTAATGTGTTTTTTAAAATGGGAATATATGTATACAGAGCTGGTATATACATAAAATATGTCTGGACAGATATACAAGAAATAAAAATGTTTGTCAGCCAGGCACAGTGGCTCGTGCCTATAATCTCAGCACTCTGGGAGGCTGAAGCGGGCAGATCACCTGAGTCAGGAGTTTGAGACCAGCCTGGCCAACATGGTGAAATCCCATCTCTACTAAAAATACAAAAATGAGCTGGGCATGGTGGCGCACACCTGTAGTCCCAGCTACTTGGGAGGCTGAGGCAGGAGAATTGCTTGAACCCAGGAGGTGGGCATCGCAGTGAGCCGAGATCGAGCCACTGCACTCCAGTATGGGCAACAAGAGCAAAACTCTGTCTCAAAAAAAAAAAAAAAAAAAAAAATGTTGTCTATGGGAGGGGAACTGAATGGTTAAGGGACAGGAATGAGACAGTGACTTTTCACTATACAGTCCGCCCTCCACATCCATGGGTTCCATATCCATGGATTCAACCAACCACAGATAGAAATTATTAAGAAAAGAAAAAAACTGCGTATGTGCTGAACATGTACAGACTTTTTTCTTATCATTATTCCCCGAACAATAGAGTTTCACAACTATTTATGCAGGATTTATGTTGTATTTAGCATTATAAGTAATCTAGAGGTGATTTAAAGCAGGGGTCCCAACCCCTGGGCCACAGACCAGCACTGTTAAGAACTGGGCCTGTTAGGAATGGGGCTGCACAGCAGGAGGTGAGCAGCAGGTGAGTGAGAGAAGCCTCATTGGTATTTTCAGCCGCACCCCATCCCCATCTCTAGCATGACCACTTGAGCTCCACCTCCTGTCAGATCAGCTGCAGCATTCGATTCTCATAGAGCGTGAACCCTATTGTGGACTGCGCAAGCGAGGGATCTAGGAGGCCCGTTCCTTATGAGAATCTAATGCCTGATGATCTGTCATTGTCTCCCATCACCCCCAGATGGGACCATCTAGTTGCAGGAAAACAAGCTCAGGGCTCCCACTGATTCTACATGATGGTGAGTTTGTATAATTATTTCATTATATATTACAATGTAATAGTAATAGAAATAAAGTACACAATAAATGCAATGTGCTAAATCATCCCAAAACTATCCCCAATCCCCCCCTCCAGCCCCCGGGTCTGTGGAAAAATTATATTTCACGAAACCAGTCCCTGGTGCCAAAAAGGTTGGGGACCACTGATTTAGAGTATAAAGGAGGATGTGTATAGGTTATATGCCAATACTACGCCATTTTATATCAAGGCCTTGAGTATC